CCAACTTTTTAATCTCCTTAAGCTTCTTACTTTCTTCATAAATCAAAAGGGACACTTCTCCTGAGCTACAGTCTGCGGCAAGGAGGGAGAACATGACTGCAGAGTGTCTCTGGGAGGCTACAGCACAGCTGGCATTACTAGCCTCGGTGTTAGGTCAGTGAGCACTGGAACTTGGGTGCTTCACAAGCGCTAGTCCCTGTTACCTACACTACAATGAACAAGGAACTTCAGAGGGCTGGGTCACTTGCAGTGCAACTGAGAAGATAGGTATAAAGCACTCAGCAGGGACCAGAGCACAGTAGGGCCTCAATACAATGAGCCTCTGCTAACAGTATTTGATGTTTCTGGGTCTGACCTACTCTCTGGTTTCTCAGTGATATCACCACTAAGGCATTTACTGACCAAAAGTCAATAAATAATCTGTGTCAAAGAGGAAAACTACAGATATGAAATGGATGATGCCATTAAAAAAAAAAAAAAAAAGCTAAATGCATCCTGGAATGGATCCTGGAACAAAAAGAAGGTCATGCGTGAACAAACTAGTGAAACCCAAATAAAGTCTGCAGTCAGTGCTGTACCAACATGGATTTCTTGGGTGTTTTTTTTTTTTTTTCCATTTACACCAAAGGGCCATCGTTTTGTATAAACCGTTAAAAGTAGGGCCATGGTTCTGTGTAAGCAAGATGAGTGGGTCTACAGAAACACTTTATATACCCTTCATAACTTTCCTGTAAATCTAAGGCTATTATAAAATAAAATATTTTAAATAATAGGCTGTAAAAACAACCACCCCAGGGCCTCCCCTGGTGGCGCAGCGGTTGAGTGTTGGCTGGGCTGTGAGGCTGCCTGCAGCCTCTGCAGCACCGGTTTGTTCGCCAGACACCGGCGAGGGTCCCACAAAAAAAAAAAACAAAAAACAAAACCAACCAACCAACCACCCCATATAAACTCAACAGCACATCCACATATTTTAGAAGGCCAACATTACTCTGATAACAAAAGCAAACAGGGACATCACCCAAAAAAGACAACTACAAGCTAATATCCCTGAGGAAGAGAGATGTAAAAATTCTCAACAAAATCTTAGCAAATTCAACAATGCATTAAAAGATTGTGCATCATGGGATTTATTCCAGGGATACAAGGATGACATCCAAAAATCAATCAGTGTAATTCACATCAACAAAAGGAAAGATGATGATCATATGATCATATTCAATGATGCAGAGAAAGCACTTGACAAAATTCAACACACATTTATGAGAAAAACCCTCTAAAGTTGGGGATAGAAGGAACATACTTGAACATAATAAAGGCCATAAATGACAAAACCACAGCTGACTTCATACTAAATGGTGAGAAACTGAAACCTTTTCCCCTAATATCTGGTTCAAGATAGGAGTGAAGACTTTCACCACTACTATCTAACATAGTGTATTGGAAGTCCTAGCCAGAAAAACTAGGCAACAGAAAGATATAAAAGGAATCCAATTTGGAAAAGAAAATAAAACTAATACTAATGTAGATAACATGATTATATAAGAAAACGCTAAAGATTCCACCAAAACAAAAAACCCTGTCAGAAACAATAAACCATTACAAGTAAAGCTGGCACATTACAAAAGGAATTTACAAAACTCAATTGTATTCCCATAAGCCAACAACAAACTAGAAGAAATAAATTTTTAAATCCACACAATTAGAACATCAAAAACTATTAAATATCTAGGAATAAGCTTAATAAAAGTGGTGAAGGACCTGTGCAATGAAAACTAAGCCACTGTTAAAAGAAACCGTAAGAAGGGTTAGGGTTAGGGCTAGGGTTAGGGTTTAGTTTAGAAAAAAAGAAAAAAAAGATAAAAGAAACCAGAAGACACTGTTAAAAGACAAAAAGAAGTCGAAAGATATTCACTGCTTGTGGACTGGAGGACTTAACATTGTTATAATGGCCTTCTTACCAAAGCCAATGCAATCCCTATCAACATTTCAATATTCTTCTTCAAAGAAACACAACAAACACTACTGAAATTTATATTTAACCACAAAAGATCCAAATTAGTCAATGCAATTCTGACAATAGAGGAAAAACAGAGGTAACATTCCACGCCCAGATGTTGAACTACACTACAAAACTATAGTAATAAAAATTAGTATGGTATTTGGAATAAAAATAGACACAGGACAAGAATTGAGTGCCCAGAAAGAAACCCACAATTATACAGGCAGTTAATCCATGACAATGGAGCCAAGAGTATAAATAAAGGAAAGTCTCTTCAACAGTGCTGGGAAAAGTGGATACCATATGCACAAGAATGAAACTAGACCACTCTCTCACACCATACAAAAAAAAGCAACTCAAAATTATTAAAAACATAGATGTAAGACTAGAAAACATAAAATACACAGAAGAAAACGTGGGTAAAACACTCCACAACAATGGCACCAGTGATGTATTTGGGGAAACAAAAGCAAAAATAAATAAGACTACTTCAAACATAAAAGCTTCTGCATAGAAAAATAAAGTAGCATTAAAATGAAAAGTCACCCTACTGAATGGAAGAAAATACTTGCACATTATACATCCAACAAGGAGCTAATACCAGTATCTATAATGAACTCATAAAATTCAACAACAAGAAAAAATTCAAAAATGGGCAGAAGAGCTAACGTGACACTTCTCCGAAGAAGACGTACTGATGGTCCATGGGCACATGCAAAAAGGGCTCCTCATCACTTATCAACAGGGAAATGCAAACCAAAACCACAATGAGACAGCATCTCACCCCTGTAAAAATGGCCTTTATCAAAATGTACAGAACCACGAAGTGCCGATGAATGTGCAGAGAGAAAGGAACCATCATACCCTGCTGGTTGGTCGAGCCCCTATGGAAAACAGTACAGATTTCTCAAAACACTGAAAATAGATCTTCCATATGAGCCAGCAATTCCTCTCCAAGGTATCAACCCAAAGAATACAAAACCTCTAATTTGAAGGGATACATGCATTCCTATGTTCACAGTAGCACTATTTCAAGAGCCAAGTCATGGAAATAACCTAAGTGCTAAAGAATAGATGAGCACACGGGCCTCCCCGGTGGCGCAGCTGTTGAGCGCTGGGTTGCGAAGCTGCCCGCAGCCTCTGCAGCACCAGTTCGATCCCCGGCTGCTCCCCGGCCACTGGAGGGGGGTCCCACATGGCGCGCAGACCTCTCCTGCCACCCGCTGCTCCCCTCAGCAGTGTACTTCGGTCCTTCTGCCTGCTCTGCTCCCCACTCTGGCTCTGGTGAATTCTCTCATCCTCCCGCGCTTTTGACTGTACCCAGTGCATGTATAAATAATAAATAAATCTTTAAAAAAAAAATAGATGAGCACAGTAAGAAAATGCGGTATATATTCACAATGGAATACTACACCTCTCTCTCTCTATATATATATATATATATATAATATATATGAATGAACTCTTTTCGTTGTAACAACATGGATGGAACTGGAGGAGTTACGCTAAGTGAAACAAGTCAGAAAGAAACAGAAAAATACTGGGTGGTTTCACTCATGTGGAATATAGTGCAAAAAAAACAAAGGGTCAAATAAGACCAAACCAAAAATAAACCCTAGAAATCTGAGCATAGAGTTGAGGTTACCAGAGCGGGAGTGGGGGTTTGGGAAACAATAGGGGTAAGGAGCCCAAAGGCCTGTGGTGAAGGGCTGCGGGGGCCCTGGTGGTGGCTGTGGTGTGCTCGCATACATCTGAAGCCTGGGCCTAGGCCTCTGAACCACACACACTGTTGCAAACCAGTGTTGCTTCAATAAAGCAAAAAATTAAACATGGCAATGAACAGCACTTTCTGAAACTGGGTTTACAATTCATGGGCTTTTCCAAAAAGATGAGTGTCATTTAGAGATTAGAGGTGAGCAAACTTCTGTAAAAAACCAGAGAGTAAAGGGCCTCCCCTGGTGGTGCGGTGGTTGAGCGCTGGGCTGTGAGGCTGCCTGAAGCGCTGGTTCGTTCCCCAGCCACCGGTGAGGGTCCCACAAAAAAAAAAAAAAAAAAACCAGTAAAAACTTGAGGCTTTGTAGGCCATGGGGTCTCCCTCGTCACTGCGCACCTCTGCCACCACCACAGTGCAAAAGGAGCCAGCATCACAATGTGAACAACTCGGTGGCTCTGTTCCTATCAAACCATCTATAGGAACATGCAGCATGAGCCACCCTGTTGACCCCTGGATGGGAGGGGTCAGATGACAGTCCCTTGGGGGGTGAACAGTGAGGAGGAGATACAGAAAACGATGATGATGCCGGTGAACAGCTTGCCTCTGCTCCCCTCCTCCCCCATCCTCACCGGCTTGATGATGAGGGGCTCCCTGTGGATGGCAGATGCCCCCCACAACATCCCAGGCCCTAGAGAGTCCTTCACCAACTGCACACAATCACCTCCCACGCAGGATGGAGACAGCCCGTACATAAGCCAGTCCATAAAAGCAGTAACTTGTTCTCTCTTAAGAAAAGTGTCCTCTGCATCGCTTCTCGGCCTTTTGGCTAAGATCATGTGTAGAAAAGCGTCCTATGCAGGAGGAGGGTGGGCAGAGAAAGGAAAAGCAGGCAGCGGGAACGCCCTGGCACAGACACAACAGGACATTCAGCCTGCACCCTGAGAGATGGGGGGCTCTGGGCTGGTGTCTGCCCTGCACAAGAAAGGTCACCACCGAGCCACCTCATGTCGTGCAAAAGTCCTCACCAGCAAGATCCTTTTCTTGGGTTTGGCTCTGGAAGCTCTGGTGGAGAAGGACATTTTGGACCCATCTTTCACCCAGCGGGTGGTCCCTGCATCCCAGTGTTCTTGCGTCCAGGTGATCACAGTGGAATTAGGTTAAGAGGGGGCTGAACTTCTGCTTGCTGGTTCAACAGCTTCATTTCAGAAAATGAGGGGCTTCAGAGTTCTTGGCATTGTGGTCCTCACGGTAACTACCAGGAATGTTTCTCTCAACAAGGTTCTTACATGGAAAATAGCTGCCACCCCAGCTGGGCGCTGCATGTATACAGAGGGGCTCCAGAAGGTGCAGGAGCACCATGTGAAGAAAAATCCTGCAGGTACTATGCTTAAAAAAAATTGCAACCAGTTACGTGACGCGATAGGTAGTTACCCACTCTGCTGAGAATATTTACAGTGCTGCTGGGTGCCCGTGGGACTCCCAAGCCTTGACAGGCAATGTCCAAGGTCCTGTTTTCATGGCTCTTACAGAGGAGATGTCTGCTCAGAGGCAAGGAGAGGAGCACCAGCCTAGCCCAGCCCTCCTAGATTAATTACAGGAACTGCTAGAAAAACACAACCTCCAGTCCACATCTAAGGCTTCTCCGGGACTAGGAGGGCTATTTCCCTGAGCTTTTTAGTGAGATTACATAACTGATGAACCAAGAAGTCGGGTCAAGTTAAACTGAGAATACCCAATTAGTTCTCGGGGGAAAGGCACGTCCAAGCAGGTGGCTGCCTCGAGCTCTCAAGGGGCAGCGGCTGGATCTGATTATGCACGGCACCTTGAAACCTCAGGACAATGCAGAGGGTGCAGGTTATTCTCTTTTACAGATAATCTGGCTAAGCCGTGGTGTGCTTAAATAATTTATATAAGGCCTCCAAGTTTTTAAGTAGCAGGATGAGGATGCGAAGCCAGTCCCATTTGACTCTTAAATCAGAGCCGCCTAGTCTATTCAGTTTTCCAACTTAGAGAGAGCTCATGAGGCCGCAGCCTGCAGTCAGATATTGAGACACAGCCAGCCAATCCACACACCACAAACGATCAATTACCAGGACAAAAACCACTGAAACTAAAATGGAACACAAAAGCAAGACTAAGGAAAAAATTTGGGTTTTTTTTAGTCTTAAGCAACAGAAAAGCTACCTTAAATCTCAGACATGAGGCTTCATTTGGAAAGTCGTTTTCATATAGGGCTTTAATTTTATATGAACAATTAACATTCTGGCTTGGAAATCAAACCTCTGCACATTTCAGAACCTGTGGTTCCAGCAGAGCAATGGTAGACCTGAATCAGGCCACAAACCAGTGCCAAGAACACAACACAACACCAGGAATGCCCTCTCCAAGACACAGTCACGGGTGTGCAAGGATGTGGATGCTAAGCGTCACTATGGCATAATTTCTATAAAAAGTTGGAGAGAAGATTCCAGAAAAGATACAGGAAAAAAACTAACTCCCCCATGCTCCAAAAAAACCCCCACAAAAACCTGAAAGTGAACAGATATTCATGGTCGATGGCCAAGTATGTGGGCCTGGTGATTAGCTTCAAGAGCTCCCTTGAAGCTCAAGGGAGACGACAGAGCTCACGCTACTCGCAGAGAGATTATGGATGCTGCTCTGTGGGCAGGATGCCCTTCTCCCCAGCCCCAGGCCAAGGTACAGGGGGCTGACTGTGCAGCAACCAGATTTCAGTGCTTATTCCCGCAGATAATCATAACCCACAGCTCCTGAGTCCATGCGCAGGGCAAGCGCCCCCTCTTCCAAGCCACGGCAGTGACCACTGATAGTCACAGTGATTCCTCGGGGGTTCAGCGTCGGATGGACTCCTACAATTCAAATGCACTGGAGAGTGTCAGTTCCATGGCAGGAAGACTCTGAGGGAACCACGAAGCCTGCACAGAAAGATCAGGGGCCAACTGCAAGCGTCCCCGATGACCCATCTGGCTTGGGGCATTTTTCCTACCCTTTTTGTGAGGGCCACCTTATGTTTAAAAGGGCCACCTTATCTTTAAAAAAATGTGCTATATCTACCCCTACTGGGTAAGAGTGAGGATTAGGATAATTTTTAAAGTAGCGAAAACAAATCCAGTGCCCCCCCAACCAATAATTAATGTTCCATGGCCTTTGATTTTGACAAATGCAGAGTAACTCACATCAAGCCCTCTCTGCAGCCACTGCTGCAGCAAAAGGCTCTGATGCCTGTATGCCCACCTCCCAGGCGGTCCAGAAAGAAGCTAGCTCTGAGCAGACACTGCAAGGTTGCTGTGGGCTCCAGCACACTTGCCCTGCTCTTCAGAATACCTGAGATACGTTGGCCCTCAATCCTTCCCAACCCACCAAGGAACTCTGAAGCTCACTGAGGTGTATGGGAGAGGGCACAAGCTTCCAGTTCCTTCTACCCAGCACCAAGACACACACCCTCCACATGTAAGCACCAGCTCTGCTGGAGATCTAGGTCGATGCAACCACCATGGTCGATGAAGAGGACCAGCCTGCAAGTACGCACAGAAAAGGTACCGACCCTACTGGATGTGCTCTCCCTTCCAGTCAGTAAAGATGCTGGAAATTATTAGGATGGGCAGGTCTTTCCTTTGGGTTAATTAGCACCTTCTTCTGAGCTCTTCTTAAATGTTCATAGCATTCCTTCCCTTGTTACGAAAGGATTATGTGTTTTAGTCAAGTCAACAAAAACCAAAAAGCAGACATGCAAAAAAAAAAAATTGGGAGAGAACCATGTAAAGATAAATTCTTTACTTTCTTTTGAAATGATCATCACAATAAGAGAAGGAGAGGAGAGACCAACTTCCAGGCTGAACTGACCCTAGAGCTGGCCCTACCCCACAAGAATCAGGAGCAGTAAGTAAAGAGCGAGGGAATTGACAAACCTCTCCAAAGGCAAAGGGAAAGAGAGAGAAGAGGAGAGGAAGCAAGGACAAAGTTTGCCTAAAACCTCAGAATTTCTGGTTGTATGACCAATTTCAAACATCTGTTAAAAATTATTTTACAATTGTTTTTCTGAACTTTGGAAAAATCCGCCATGGTCTGTTGTGGTATACTAAACTGCACGTCGCAAAGAAGGGGTACTTTGCTATCTCCCAGTAAGGTCCATCGCCATCCCGAAAAAGCACCATGAATCAACCAGAGTCAAGTCATTCCAAATGCCAAGAAGCTGTCTATGGGGAAACTCTGCCGGGTGTAAAGGAAGTTACTTCACTGACAAGAACAAAGATGGCTGCCAGTGAGCGTACACAGTCCGTGGATGAAGGCAGAGGCCACAGATGGAGAACGGAATCCAGTGACCGTAAGCAATGACACCCAATCTAGACAAGCCGAGGGGTAGATGCTCGAGGAAATCTGGACATTCAGGAGCAATGAACCAAGTCTCTTGTGGGGTGACAAAAATCTACTGCTCCTCTGAGCCACCAGAGCAGAGTGAGTGAGCTATGCTAACATTTCAGCGACAAAGTCCTCTTCTAAGACGCTGCCATCTTGAATACGGGAACTTGCCACGCAAAAAGAGGTGTTCTTTTCATTTGAAATCTGTAGACGAAGCAGAGAGCGATGCTTGATCTTTCTGAAAAGAGATTTTCTTTTGTGGCAGCAACCTAAAAGGATTACTTGTCAAGAATCTGCTCCATCATTTACAATTGAAGAAAACCTGTTTAGAGAAAACTGCTTTATTGGGGGAAAAAAAATGACTTTGGAACATTTGAAATACCTTGACCTATGATGTAATGTCCTCCAAGGAGACTGAGCTAGCAATTCTTCACTGGCAATGAAGTCACCCGTCACCTTGCCGCGTGTACAGGTAAGTAATAGCTCTAGATTGATTGACTGCAATGAATAATACCCACAAGTCATAAACATCAGCAGAAAACCAAGAAATCCAATTCTGCTGTATTGTTTTCTACCTGTCAGATGCTACAGCTGTATTTACACACTGCCTAGATCTGAATCTCGGCTGCTGGAGGTTTTGCTCTGTAAATTTGTTTTCTGGTGGCTGGGGTCATGACATTTCTGTACAACAAAGCTACCGGGATCCTGTGCGATCCGTACCCACTTGGACTTCATTTCTCAGGACCTGATAAGTGAGGAGCGGAGAGTCTACCCTGGATTAAACCCAGGCAGCTCAGGTAACTCCTCCCTTTACAAACTCTGAGTAAATTGTAAGGACCCACATAACAACTATGGTTTTAATTAAATTAAAACTGACACCCTACTGCATTCAATACTGTACAACTCGTATAGAGATGATGAATTTTAAAAAGGGACACACACACACAACAAAATTAAGTTTACAGAATCCTAAGCAAAGACAAATGCTATAAAGAGATAATGAGGAAATTAATTCTGTGAATTCTTGCAGGGAGAGTTTTTCATCTTCATAATAAAGAAGGATGAAGGAAGATGGACCAGAAACCAAACAGAGTTGCTAAGACATCCTCAGTGACACACAGATAGAAATAAGATTTTCCAAAGGTGAATTTCTGTTTACGTACATAACAATTAAAATGAGATTTATTAATACTATGTCAACGTCACTACAAAGGTTTTAAGACCCATTTCTAATTAATAAGAATTTTATGATCTTTCCAAGAATGAGGAAAAGATTCGCTAGTGCTATGGCATAAACATCTGTATCCCCACCCCCATCCCACAAAAAAAAAAAAAAATCTGTACATTGAACACTCCCACCCGCCCCTCTTCCGAGCAATGGTATTAGGAGGCAGGGTTTCTAAGTGGTAGTTAGGGTTAGGTGAGGTCATGAAGAACAGGATCCTCCCGGTGTACTAACAAGGGTTGTGAGACAGGTTGCTCTTTCCACTCTCTACCACATGACGGCCTGAGACTTCAGCAGTCTGCAAACCGAAATGGGTTCTCACCAGAACCAGCCCTGCTGACACCATGATCTGGACTTCCAGCCTCCAGGACTGTGGGAAATAAACTGTTTGCAAGCTACTCAAAGTATTTCTGTTGGAGCACCCCAAAGACAGGTAGGTCGGAGGGAGGAGGGACAGACAGGCAGAGATACTAATACAGATACACACACACCACTCAGATATCAAGTAACGCTAAAAGGTCAATATTAACGAACACTAGAAGGGAGTATTTTCTTAAAGTCAAGCACTGGGTGCAGGCAGAGACAAGCACTATTTAGAATCCCCCGGCAGACAAGAACACTGGAGAGGCTTCCTGAAGATGAAAACTCAATCAGACCCTGAAGATAGGTCAGGATTGTCTTGAGCAAAAACAGAGAGACACTACAGGCAGAAGGAATCAAAGGATGCTGAGCACCCAGGGCTCCATGATAAAGTGAACTCACCCTCCTGGAGAGAATGGCACCTTCCTGAAGACACTGCTCAAGCTGTCTACACCCAGCTCGTGCCCAGGCCCAGGGACAGTGCCCTCTACCAGGGTTTACCGATCATCACCTGGGCTGATGTCAGAAATGCATTTTCATCTGCCCCTCAATTCTTAGATGGCTCTGGGGAGGGGCCCAGCCATGTGGGCCCAGCAAGTCCTGGGTAGAGGGGGGGCCTGGTGGCCCTCACAGTAGAGGAGTTCCTAGCTACAAGACAAATGTGGACCCGCCACACTTGGAAATCCTGTCAAAGACACACAAGAAACTTCTACACACTGAAGAGAAACAGAGCTGTCTCTTCTCCACTGCACAGGAAAAACAAGTTCTCAAAGCAGGAGAAAGCCTACATTTCAATAAAAATCTCTCTTCCAGACTTGCTTCGACTGCTCGTTACCCCCCACCCCCTTCCTGGCCTCTCGAGGTTGGAGTGCTTTCCGCGACATTTTAAAATGTGTATGAATAGGAAGCTGGGGAATTCACTCCTCATTTGATTTATGACCAAAAATATCAAGCTCTTCATGTTTCGAGCACGGACGTGCTGGGAATTGAGCGTGGCTGGATCGTGCCGCGTAATGTCGCTTTTCCACAGAACCACCGTGGATGAAGGATGACCAGCTACGCTCTCTCCATCGACGGTGATGGATGCCGACGGAAGAAATAATTAGAGAGACGGTTCCCGCTTCAAAAAAAAAATAAAGTAAAAAGGGCCCAAATTCCACTGCAATAGTGTTCAGGATGACAGGTTCTGGGTTCCTATGTAACCACTGTCACAGCTCACAGTACTAAAGTAAAAGGGTATTTTTATTCTGGACAAAGGAAAGTAAAAGACTGCAAGCATGTTTGGGTAACACATAATTTAAATCCAAAACACCCAGCCCCTGGCATGTAAACAAACACATGGGTGACAATTTGCCAGGAAATCCTACCTGCAGAGTGTGTCTCCATACTTGAGTTTCACCACAATTTTCAAAGTCTTCAGGTCACCCCAAAATTCGAGCATACCAAATATCTCCCAGCCTCTTTTAATACTTAATAAGTTCATAATGATTTCATGTGAAGTCAGCAGTAACTATAAAAAGCCAAGTAATGGGAGGCATACTTTCCAATTCCATTTAAAGTCCCGAGAATGCCCAGCATGACATCACTATCTATGATTTATTTTAAGCAACTCTGGGTTGTTTTTGTTTTTTTTTTTTTTTAATTTTTTTTTTCAAGATAGGACACTCGAATGCTATCAGGCTGAAATACGAATGTACTGTGGGCTGTAACTTGATGAACTAATCAAGCAATGCCATGTCATCATCAGGGGCGTTTGATGCCCCAGCGCCCCTACTCTGTGCTGATGACTCCACAGCTCCGTTCCGCAGCAAGGTGCACCCTCACGCGGCCAAGCCTGATTATTCACGGTGTTCTGTTTGTGTCGGTATTGTTTGTTCTAATATATTTGAGTTGATCTGCCCATGCCCGGCAGGAAACCAAACCGAACAGATAAAATCAGATATTTCATCCATCCCTTGTCAAGTATGCAGGGAGCAAGAGAGCAAATAGAGCAGAATGCGAGCATAAAGCTCTCAGAAACCCACATAACTCAAACATCATTCCACAGAGAGTTCCAAGAGTCCATCGATCACAACGCATGTCTTCTCACATCGCCAAACGTTTGCATAACTAGGAAGCAAACAGCAAAAGTAGGACATAACAAATTTCCTCTGTGCAATCCCAAACTGCCACGAATTGAACTTGAAGACAGATCTGAGAGCGCACCAGTCACCCCTTCTACCCTGGAAACACAGAGATGTTATTCCAGAAATGCTTCTTCTGTGGAAACTCAACCTTTCGCATCCCCCGCCACTGGAGAGCAAAGGTCCTCAGATGTTAAGGCGGCAGTACCCGCTGTCCACAGAATTCGCAAAAGCAAGATCCTGGTCCGCCTGCCCTCAGCAACAAACACAAACACAGGTACTTACGCAGGAGATGCCCAGTCCCCAAAAGCGCCCCCATCTGTGGGAAGGTGGTTTTTGTCTGGTCCAGCCACTGATGTGGGTGATGGGGAGGAAAGTGAGTCTAGACTGCCAGTGGGGGTGCCCTCCTTTGGAGGATTAGGGCCATCACCTGGGGAGGGAAAGAAAAGGTGTCAACATTCAATCAGAGGAGAAAAGGCAATTCCTCCAGTGATTATATGGCATCATTTGATTAGTCAATCAAATTATATCCAAAATTACATTTACAATTCAGCCTGAGAACATTTAGGTATCCAAACTTGAAAGCCTTTGCCTTTTTTTTTTTAAACCAAAGACACTTAAAATAAATCAGAGATAATACATAGTGAAGGGTTTTCCCCACAAAAAAAAACACAATATCAAGTCAGATCAAATGGAAGATGAAAGCCTTAATGGCGGCCACCATGACTCCCCAGCCCATAAGCAGCACAGCTGCGTGTGATGATAACCTCAGGAGCAGCTCAGAGCACACACCCGCCCCCCCACCCCCAGGACCCAGCCTCCCCTCCTTGTCACGACGCTTCCCAGGGCCGCTGCCAGTCACCACTTAGCACATAATAAATTAAACAACTGTAGAGGAACCTCGTCTTCTGGGCTGGCGTCTTGAATTACAACTTAATGGCTCCACTTATTAAATCCCGGACACAGAGAAACTTCCATTTCCCGGTGAACATTTAGGGAGGATGTTATATGTGAAGAAGGCCCCTGCAGCGGCCTGAACCAAAACTAAGGAGCGTTTTCTTAATGGGCTGCATGCTGTAGTCATTCATAGAGGACCGTTTTATGAAATAGGTTTAGTGTCATTTGTGCGCATTATGGGCTTGGGTGGAAAATCAGAAGACAGGAAAGGGAACACGCCAGAGCAGCTGTGTCCCTGAGCTGGGGTCTTGCTTTCACAGTGCTCACTGCCACCATCCACCTGCCTGTATAGCGCCCACTCAGAGCTTGGAGCCCCCAGCCTACTTCACAGTCCCCACTAAATATTACCTGCCCCCTGGGGCCTTGAAGAGACAGCGACATTCTGTTACAATGGAAGGACTTGGGGTGGAGTTTAGAGGGGTTGGGTCACCACAGCTGGTCAACACACTGCTGTGGAAGCAGATGACAGACAACATGGAAGTGCAGCTCTGCCGCCCGCCGGCTTCCTACTGATGGAACCTTTATTTCACCTCAGTCTTAGGTCCAGAAACAGAGCAGGCATGAACGCCAAAAACAACAAGGAACCTGCTCTGTGGAAACCATCTCAGATGGATTTCAGTTCTAGTAATGAAGCACAAGAGAAATGAAAGAATCTAAATTAAACTAGATCCCAAGATGCTAATCACAAAGACAGACTGTGCAAAGTCATTCTCATTTAACACTGACCGAGCTTACAAGTTAGACTAAGAAATGGAGATCTTTGAAATGGAGATCTGGAAAGACTGGATGCAGGGAAGGAGCTAGAGATGGTAGTAACAGCCACAAGAAGAGATTCTTATGGGAGTAGTTAGAAATACCAGGATGGTCCTGTGTGGAAGATTCTGGAAAGGGAGAGTTCTCTGAGATTTTTCCTTCCTAAGCGTGTTGTTAGGAAGCACAGGAGGTACAACGGGCAAGAGTTGAATGGGATTTCTGCAGGCAGAGCTCCTCTCTGGCAAGTATCCCTGTGAAGGTTTGCTCTGCCCCCATCACAAATGTGCAGTCTAGAATATTCTGACTCCTCTTTCAGTGATGTCATTTTTTCCAGAGCTCTTTACCACAAAAGGGTCCAGCTAATTGGAGTAATTCAGGCTCAAAGACAAGGGTCAATATTTTCAGGCAAACAAGCAAAACTCGCTGATGCATGACTATGCAGGTCTTTGATTCTTATTCTGAGATACAGTCCACTTTGAAACAAAGGCTGCTTCTTCCCCTCTCCTTGTCAAGCTCAAGTCCATCTAATTCTTTTCTGCAAATGAGCCTCAAAGCAAAGGGCTGGACCCTACTTTGGGTTCCTCAGTCTTCCTCAGCGATGACTCCCTTTAGAATTAAGAAGGTACCAAATGTCACCCCAGCACAGAGTCTAAAGTAAAGTCCGGAACATTTACTGGCACCAGAGCCGCCCACTCAGGGCTTGGCTAGAAGGAGCAAAATACGCTCGGTTCTAAAGCAGAAGAGAATCACTTCAACAGAAAGTCAGATGCAAGCAGCTTTCCTAATTCAGGAGGCTGGATCCCGGCCCTCTGCTGTCTGGGCTTCCTCCCCTGTCTGCACAGCAGGGCATGACACAGCAAAAGCAGTAAATGAGAGTCTTGGACCAGCTCTTCCCTGATTCATTCCTACCAGGAGAAACCTGTCAATGAGCAGTGTCTGTGGAGAACTGAAGAGCAAAGGTCTAAGGTTACTTTCAAAAGATGCCTGAAATGTTTTTACCAGCAAATACACTAGCTCGTCATGTGGCCTCAAACCCTCTTTCCAAGGAGGCTGACACAGCACAAATCACCATTCAATATATTAAATCATAATCTATTAAGATTTTCTCTCTTCCTTCCTGCCAACCCTCGAGTAAAAAGAATACTGGTAAGAACACAAAAACCAATCAAAGGGGTCCTCCACCCCTCCCCGTGTGCACAAAATTCCTTTCTCCTTCCTGTTGGCTGAGCTCATCTACAGAGAATCACTGAATTCCAGGGAACACTAATACTGGGCACATAAACATAAATATGTCGAATCACTTCTCAAAATTCACCAAAATCAAAGGACTGCTTTTGACCTAGTAGGAAAGTAATGTTTGTGTCTTTTTTCCCCCATTATTGTTCAACAATTTCTGGAATCAAGATTTTTAAACCTTATGAAACTAATTTGTACTTGAGAATTAAAGTCAGATACTCTCATCATTTTCCACCTTTCATTTCTTTTGAGTGTCACACAACCTCTCAGGTGTTACCTTTCACAGGTATCTACAGACAGACAAGCCACCTGTGAGGAACGAGGGTGTTCAGAACGAGAACAAAAATGGAGCTGAGGGACTTTTGTTATGAGCAGGCTCCGAGATAAGAGGCTCACCAGAAATAGAACCACCATCAAGAAGAGAAAACATCTTCCTCACAACACCCGCTTAATTCCCACCTTCTCCACCCAGCACTTGCCAACCGCCTGTTCTGCCTGGCTCTCTTTCTCACAACTACGAGCAAGCATCAAGTTCGAGTTTCACTGTCACCTACTGAGTTCATGACCTGGTTTTAGCTCCCTGTGTCCACTGTGCATTTTTGGAGGGTGGAAGCTATGTCTCAGGCTTGGTTATCCTTAAAGCACACAAATCAGCCAGGCCTGGGTGGCTGGGGGAAACACGGTTTCGAGTTTTCCCTCCCTCTTCATTCATTTCTGCTTTGTCTTGCTCTCAAATGTACTTCCTCACAATGATGATGCCAAAGACAGTTCCCTCTGAGTCCCTTACCTTTACTTGCTGCCTCGCACTTAACCTGAAATGGTGGATGGTACAAAGCACAGGGATTTCCTGGATTCCTCAGAAAGGGATGGTCTACTCAACAGTAAAACTATTTTGCGCCCCTCTCTCTTAACTATCATGGCATATGCATTAGCAGAAGGAAGAAGAAAAAAAAATAAAAAGGGGCAGGAAAGACAAAAGGGAAGCACAAAAAGAAAAAAAAATGTAATGTATCAGTTGAACTTAATTCTAACAAACTTCCCAGTTATGCATCTGGTGAACTGTGCACACTATTCAGGTGCTCCTGGCAAACAAATTCACTTTGTCAGGTCAGAATGATCTTTGGTGTTCTAAGTATCAAAATCTAAATATCAAAAAGTTGATCATTGGAATCAAAAGAAAAAAATAGTAGAACAAAGTAATGGTGCTTTTAAGAAACCAGTAATGTGTTTACAATAAAGGCCAGTCAGGAAATTTCCAGTCAAGATATTTATGAGATGTGAAGTGAAAACTCACCTCCTCTGCCACATAATGTCCAACAACCACAAACATGACAAAATAACACTTTAAAAATAAATAAAAATATATAACTGCACTGAAAAAAAAAACATTTACACCTCTCTGAGAGACACTCGGATGCAGAGGTTGGTGGGAGCACACAGCAAAGGCCTGCTGACTCCAACTTCATCTACACATGCAGAAGCAGCTGATGTTCAAGTCCTCTGGTGTCCCTACCACAACACACCCCAAAACACCTACTAAGTGCAGGCACTCTATTTGGAACTAGGGCTGGGAGGCCAAAACCCTATGCCCAAGTTTCCAGTTTGCCTGGAGAAGTAAATTGACACACCTCCACACCCTGACTACCCCAAGGATAAGCGCCATGAGCACGACCACCAGTAAGACCTGGTCCTGAACCCAGTAGAGGTGAGGCCCAGAGAGGAAGGAGGAGGAAGTGATGCCAGATGCACCATCCTCGTGTGTGCACACAGTTCACACAGGACTTGTTAAAGACAGTTTCCCAAGAAAACTAAGATCATCAGCAAACTCAACAAATGTCTTAAAAATTCAAATTTATTACAGATCTGTAAAAAGGAGACAGTAGTAAAGTGAAATTACAAATATCCAATCCCAGAAGAAGCAATAACTTGAAAGAAATATTTAAATGAATAAAAACCAATAACCAATTCCTCAAAGTTAAAGGAACTTCAAAGACCTTAATTTAAGGGACTCAAGGCCAAAGAGGAAACTACAGAAATATTTCACGTAAGATATAAAACTGGGGCCTCCTGGTGGCACAGGGGTAAAAGTCGCAGTATTATCAAGCTATCAGCAGCCACTGCGGCATGAGTTTGATCCCTGCCAGGAAGCTGACCCACATGGTGCAGCAGACCTCTCCTGTCTTCACCCTCTGCTCCCCTTAGAAGTGTATTTCAGTAGATCCGCCTGTTCTGCTCTCGTCTCTATCTCTGATGAATCCTCTCACCCCTGCATCCCCTACACCCCTATTCTGGTATGCATAAATAAATAAATCTTTAAAAGACACATACTTGAAAATTTTAAGAACATCAAATATGTAGGGGGAAAAAATTACTGCTATAAACAAACAAAAGACCAGGACTGGCATCCATGTTCTCAATAGCGATAGTGCGCAACAACACTGAATGATGGGTTTAAAGTATTTAAAAGAAGAAATTTGAGCATAG